CTTGCTTTTGGTGGGCTCATTTTTTACCTCTTGTCAATTGAATGGCGCACTCTACAAATCTTTTAATTTTTGATACACTTTGTGTATATTTTTTAATTTGGCGTCATTGCGCATCTTTTGTTTTTGGCGTCATTGGCCACTTTTTTTTGTTTATTATTGCAAGCTAGATTCCCTTTCAAAAACTCTTAAATATTCATAGTTGTGAGTATATCTTTTAGATATTAGAGAAGAAAAACTCACTTTCTAATATAGGGATATATCATAAAAGAGAATAAAAAATCATATGAGAAATGCAATTATAGGATAACGAGAAATCTTAAAGTAACATAAAAACTTTGATCATTATAAATATAAGCTAGATTACTGTAGTAATGTAAAAAAGATATCCTTTGCAAAGTCTAGTTGTTAATTTGAGATAGACTTTTGTTTAGAAAAGAAAATAACACCAGTAAATTAGGTTAGAGAAAGAGACTCAATCAACGATGTTTTCACCTTATAAGAGATTAAGAGATGTAAAATATTGACTATAAATTTTTAAAAAATAAAACAATGATATAAAATATCATTTCAACAGTGACCATAAAGGAAGAAAAAAAAAAAAGAGAAACAAAAAACTAGTATGCAAAGAGAAATAAACCAAAAAGCAATAAAATAGAGGATTCATAAATTAGTAAATAATAAGTTCATGCATTTATGTTAATCACACCCAATCTAGTCCTTAAGATGCTGAAAGTATCAAAAGCTAGTAGTTTAGTAAAGATGTCAGCCAATTGATTCTCAGTTGCCACATGGTGTAACTCAATATCTCCCTTGGTCACATGGTCTCTAATAAAGTGATGTCTTATGTCAATGTGCTTAGTCCTTGAGTGTTGGATAGAATTCTTAGAAATACAGATGACACTAGTGTTGTCACAAAGAATTAAAATTGTGCCTTCAGTTAATCCTAAATCTAGAACCTATTATTTCAACCAAAGGACTTGGTCCACACAACTCCCTAAAATAATGTACTCAGCTTCAGTAGTGGAAAGTGCAACAGAGTTTTGCTTTCTACTAGACTAGAAGACTAAAGACTGTCCTATGAATTGACAAGTTCCAAAAGTTCTTTTTCTATCCACCTTACATCCTACAAAATTAGAATAAAAAAATCCAATAATCTCAAAAGAAGTGATGTGCCTAGGATATCATATTCCTAAGTTTTAGGTCCCTAAGAGATATCTAAGAATTCTCTTAACTGCAGTCATGTGGGATTCTTTAGGATCAGCTTAAAATTTAGCATAGAGATAAACACCAAATATTATATCAGGTTGGCTAGAAGTCAGGTAAATTAAAGATCTAATTATCCCTCTGTACTTCTTTTGATCAACTGATTTTCCATTTGGGTCCTTATCCAACTTAACACTAAATGTCATGGGAGTATTAATTGGCTTGGCTTTATCCATTTCATATTTCTTTAAGATGTACTTTATATACTTTGATTGATTTAGAAAGGTTTCATCGTCCAATTATCTTATGCTAAACCTTAAAAAGTAGGACAACTCTCCCATCATACTCTTCTCAAACTCCTTATTCATTTTTTTAGGAAAATCATCACATATCCTCTTATTAGAAGATCCAAAAAGTATATCATTGACATAGATCTAAATAATTAGTAAATTATCTCCTATTTTTCTCATAAAAAGGTGGTGTCTACGCTCCCCTTAACAAACTCCCTCTCTAGTAAAAATGTGCTAAGCTCTAGATGCCTGCTTTAATCCATATAAGGCCTTTTTTAATTTGAAAACATGATTTGGAAATTGGAAACTCTCAAAACCTGGGGGTTGCTCTACAAACACATCCTTTTTTATTTCCCCATTTAAAAAGGCACCCTAATGTTCATTTGAAAAAGCTTAAATCCCTTATAACAGGCAAAGGCTAATAGCACTCTAAGGTCTTCCAATCTTGCTACAGGGGAAAAGGTCTCCTCAAAATCAATCCCTTCTATTTGGTTGTACCCCTTTAATCTTTCTACAAGCTCCCAAATATCATTCCTAATAAATTGGTTTAACTCCTCTTGCATGGCAAAGATCCAAAACTCATCAGAAAGGGCCTTATTGATGTTGGTGGGTTTAGTCATTGAGATAAAGGTAGAGTGGTTTACTTCCTTCCTAAGTCCATGCTAGTCCTAAAACCTTCATAAGGGTCTCCTAAGATTAATTCCTTATGATGACTCGAAGAATATCTCCAATCTCTAGGCAAAGTGTGCATAGGTCCCTTTCCTCCATATCTATATTTTATACTCCTTGGGTAATCTCACCTACTCCTTCATGATTTTGGGGTTCTACCCTCTTCTCAAAAATTTCAACTTCTGTGTTAATCTCTCCAACTTCATCTTCCTTCTCAACTCTAGACTTCTTAGGACCATATTTATCAAACACTACATGAGTAGTCTCCTCCACTACTAAAGTCTTCTTATTAAACACCCTAAAGGATTTCCCCATACTTGAATATCCTAAAAACACTCCTTCATAATATTTTGGGTCAAATTTTCTTAAATGTGACTTACCATTATTATGAAACAAAAACTTACAACCAAAGATATAGAGGTGGGAAAGATTGGGTGTCCTACCCTTAAGGATCTTATAGTGTGTCTTATCTAATTTGACTTTAACATTCACCCTATTCAAGACATAACAAGATGTGTTTACCACTTCAACCCAAAATTACTTAGGAAGTGAATACTAAGCAAGCATGGCTCTAGCAACTTCCACTAAGGTTCTATTCTTCCTTTCAACTACCCCATTCTACTGAGTAGTCCTAGGAGCTGAGAAGTTGTGGCTAATCCCCTTATCCTCACAAAAGTCTCTAAATCTCTCATTTTCAAACTCTCCCCCATGGTCACTATGGATGGTCAAGATCTCACAACCTAGCTTTTCTTGAATCCAACTGAAGAAGGATCTAAACTCATCAAAAGACTCATTCTTATATGATAGAAATCTAATCCAAGTAAACCTCAAGTAGTCATCGACAATTACAAAACCATAGACTTTCCCTCCTAACTTGGCAGTGCTAATGGGTCTAAACAAATCCATGTGAAGGACTTCTAAAGGTATAGAGGTGAAAATATCCTTAATAGAGTGAAAAGTGGAATGGACTTACTTTTCTAATTGGTAGGCATCACAAAGTGGTCTTTTAAAAACTTAAGTTTGGGGACACCTCTAACAAGGTCTTTTCGGGTCACTCTCCTAAGGGTTTTCATACTGGCATGATATAACCTCCTATGCCACAACCATGAATCATCAACAACAGTTTTTAAGCAAAATGAAGCAGCACATTCAATATTATTTAAGTCAATCATGTAAATATTATTGATCTACTTTTCATGCAAAATAGTGTTATTATTTAAGCTTATAATGCAAGTATTTTCCAAGAATTTTATGATGAAGCCCTTGTCACAAAGCTAACTGATGATGAGCAAGTTGTGTTTCAATCCTTCTATAAGCAAAACATTTTCAATAAAAAGGTTTTTAGAGTTTCTGATTATACTTGCGCCCGCCACTTACCTTGTGGTGTTGTCTCTAAGAGTAACCTTACCTCTTGTCCTGGTCTCTAGCAAAATGAATTGATTAACATCTCCAGTAATATGTCATGAGCATCCACTGTCTAGGTACCACATGCTCTTATGAGGCATTTTATGAGAGCTAGCCTACAAAATAATCAAATGTAAGATTTAGGAATCCAAACATATTTGGGTCCTTTCTTATGGAAAATAGAATGCAATGCATGTGTGTTATGCTGTGAATAATGTAATTTGGGTCTCCACACCTAATGTGTACTACAGTGAATGGTGTAAGTGTGTGCAATATGTCCTAACATGCTACATGAAAAACATCTAACACCAGGAAAAGGATGCACTAATTTACTCATGTGGTGATACTTCTTTTTAAAGTTATGTGATGCATGCAATGATGATTTGTTATTTCAAAAGCCTTGATATTTGATAATTTCTTAAACTCCTTTTCTAACTCAGCATGGGATGACTTCAAGGAATCTTATGCATTAGATAATTCAATATGCTTCATGTTTAATGTATCAAACTCATCAAGTAATGACATGTAATTGCTATCAATTGTAGAATGATCTTTAAGAAGAATTTCATGCTTTTTCGTAAATTTAAAAACTCCAATTTCAAGCTAGCATGTGATTTCTTAAGTTTCCTATATGATGCATGAATTTGTTCAGAAACTTTAAGTAGTTGCTCATAGGTTAGTTCACATACCTCTTATTGGTCGCTTTGACTAAGATGATCATCTATCATCAAGCATAAGTTTGTTGTCTCATCTTTTTCTTCAGTCTCAAAGAAGTCCGATGCAGAATCCACCCAGAATGCCTTTTGGAACCTCTTATTGTCCTTTTTGAACTTGGGTTTCTCCTCACCCTTCTCCTTACTTGAGTGAGATTTAAGTGTAAGATAATCAGCTTTAATAAGTCCTGGCTTGCTGCATTCAAAATAAATCAATCATTATAACTCTTAAAATTTTTGCTTCCCTAAGCCTTTATTCCACTTTTGATGGTTCTTTTGCTTCTTCCTTAGAAAGTTATTGAATTTCCTTGTGATTAAGGCAACATCATCACTTTCAGATCCAGAAGAATCAGTGTTCATGTTGTTGGCCTTCAGTGCCATAGTTCTCTCCTTCTTTTTCTCACCTGCATCAAGAATTCTTTAATTCACCCCTTGCTCATAAGCAATGAGTGATCCAAGTAAGTTATCAATTGAATAAGTATTCAAATATTTAGATTCAGTAATTATAGTAATCTTTGCATCAAAAGAGGAAGGAAAACATCTTAAAATTTTATTCACTTTTTCATAGTTAGCGAGTTCTCTTCCTAAGGGTAAAGTTACTGAAGGGAAGAGGTCTCAGAAAATACCTATTATTTTGAATAAATTCCAAATTCTGGATAATGATTTGGAGGAGGGGGAAGTTATTGAGAAGGCTATCACTGGAATTAATAATTAATCCAATATGGAGAATTCTGTTAATACTGTTGTTGCTTCTGATTTGGTTGCTGCTAAAATAGTAAAAGAGACTGGTGATCCAAGTATCCAGTTAACTAACTCAGGCAAAATTAAATTATCTAAGGAGTTGAGGTCTTTGGGACCAATGGAAGCAGATCAAAGAAAAAGGAGAGGTAAGAAAAAATCCAGTAAAATGATAGGGGGATCATTCCCCTATTATTACTTAATGGCATCTCTTATCCTTTGGAATTGTAGGGGGATTAGAAAGAGAGAAGCCTCCTTATATCTTAGGGAGATTGTGAATGAATATGAAGGTTTTTTTATTGGTCTTACTAAAACGAAGTTGTATTCTCTGGATAGATGTGATATTAACATGATCATTGGTAACGATTGGGATTATTTCCATCATCCAGTGAATAGTACTTCAGGTGGTATCTTGGTGATGTGGAAAAGAGCTTTGGCGTCCTTTGATGTCACTGAACATTCTTCCCAATTAATTATGGGCACGCACAATAGCAATAATTTGGGAAAATGGAATATTGCTACAGTTTATGGAGGAAGAGATGTCCAAACCTGTAGGAAGCTTTGGCAGGACCTTGAAGGTTGTCTGATAGGTGATAATCCAGCAATCATTGGAGGAGATTTTAATTGTATCCTTTCTAAGGAGGATAAGAAAGGTGGGAAAAGATTTCATTTCTCTAAAGGGCCTAAAGAAATGAAAATGTTTTTAACTAACAATGACTTCCATGATATTGGGTTTGTGGGACCAAATTTTACTTGGCGTAATAACAAAGAAGGCAATTCGAGAATTTGGGAAAGGTTGGATAGATGTTTCTTAAATTCTTCAGCTCTTCATAAAATCCCTATGGCTAAGGTTTGCCATTTATCTAGAGTTGCTTCAGATCATGCTCCCATTTCTCTTAATATGGTTGAGCCTCAAATTCTGAAATCAAAATTTATTAGATTTGGAGATACTTGGAAGTCCTATCCGGCTACATGGAACATTGTTTTAAAGGCTTGGAAGAAGGCAGATTTTGGTTCTAATGCTGAAGTTCTGCAATGAAAATTGATGAGATCCTTGAAAGCCCTTTTTTTCTGGAACAAGAATAAATGCAAAGAATTGAATTCTCTAAAAAATGATATGAAAAGGGATATTTTCCAATTACAAATGGAAGAAGCTATTGTTGGTCTTACGGCAGACAAGCTGGAGCAGTTAAGAATTAAAGTTCATGAATTGAATGTGACTTTGGGTAGATTGTCTACTTGGTGGAACCAAAGAGCCAAAAGTAGATGGCAGCAAGATGGTGATACAAATTCAAGATTTTTTCATCAGTATGCCTCTGCTTAAAGAAACAGTAATTTGATTTGGCAAATTAGAAATGAGAATAATGCTATTGTAGAAGACTTTGATCAAATTGAAGATGTGTTCTATAACTTTTTTAAGAGGAAATGGACAGCTAGGGAATGCAAGCTCTCAGAATGGCCTTCAGTCCCAGTAAACCTGAGAATATCCTATGAAGATGCTAAAGTCCTGGATGCAGAATTTACTAAAGAAGACATGGTAAAAGCTGTTTTCAGTTAAGGTAATAACAAGTCATCTGGTCTTGATGGTATTACAACCTCTTTTTTTAAATTCTATTGGAAGATTGAGGAGGATACTTGGAAGGCTATTGATAATTTTTTCAAAACTGGATGCATGTATAATGAATGGAAGGATACTCTTATTGTTCTAATCCCCAAGATTAATAAGCCTATTATTCCATCTAACTTTAGGCCTATAAGTTTGTGTCAAACAACTTATAAGATTGTAGCAACCATGATTCTAAATAGAATGAAAAGTTATATTTACAAGTGTATAACTAATGAGCAAGTGGCTTTATCAATGGTCGTTCTATGTCTGATAATTGTCTTCTCGCTCATGAGATTTTTTAGAAACTTAGAATCTCAAAAAGCAAAAAGGGTTTAATGGTCGTTAAGCTTGATATGGAGCAAGCTTATGACAGTATGAGCTGGGAATCTCTTACAAAGGTCTTGGATATATTTGGCATGCCAAAGAATATTTCTAGACTTATTATGGAATGTGTAAGAAGTGCTAGATTCTCGTTTATCATTAATGGAAGAGCTTTTAAATGGATTACTGCTGAGAATGGATTTCGGCAAGGTTACCCGCTTTCACCTTATCTATACATTCTTTGTTCTCAACTTTTTTCTTTAGCAATGTCTCAAGGTGGTCAGAATCTGGGAATTCAAGTCACACTGAGAGCCCCCAAGGTGATTCACTTACTGTTTGCTGATGATGTTTTGATTTTTTCCCAAGCTACTTATCAATTGGCTGTTAAGCTAAGAAATATTTAGAGGGATTTCTGTTCTTGGACAGGGCTGAAAGTTAATAACTCTAAATCTCAAATCCTGTTTAGTAAATGTATGTGCATAGCTGCTGTTTCCCGAATATAGAAGGTATTGGAATTTAAAACTGTGAAAGAAACGCAGTATTTAGGCATCAACATGATGTTAAGGAGACCTCTAAAATCTGATTTTCAATTCATATTGGATAAGGTGATGCAAAAGCTAAATTTTTGGGGAAGCAAAAATTTTTCCTTAACAGGTAAAATTACTCTTGATAAGACTTCTCTTTTAACTTCTCCTAATTTTGTTTCTACACATACATTGGTCCCAAAGAAGATTTTACAAGAGATTGATAAATGTTGTATAAATTTTATATGGCATAAGATAAATGGTAAGAGGGGTATGCATTATGTCGATTGGAAAACGTTATGCAAACCAAAAGCAAGTGGAGGTTTGAATTTTCATTCGGCGGTTAGTAGATCAGGACCTCTTAAAGCTAGACTGTCGTGGAGGTTCCTTCAAAACCAGGACTCTTTACTTTTCCAAATTATTTCTGCGAAATATGGAAATAATTTGTGGGACGTTAAAAGCAGGAATGGAAGTTCTATTGCTTGGAAGATTTTGCTTGAAGGTGCTCAATATTTAAAACCTTTATTAAGGTGGAAAATTGTCAATGGTAAGAAGATTGATATTCTTAATGACACTTGGCTGCTGGATAAATGCTTGAATGATTGGCCAATCACTGCTAACTGTTTGGAGTTAGATGGTTTAAAATTAAATCATCTCATTGATGAGAATGATGGATGGATTATTTAGAAACTGAAAGATTATTTCCAGAATGATTTTATCAATACCATTCTTCAGATTCTGATTGATAGAAGAGCAAATGAGGATTATCTCGAAGAAATCTGCTGTTTGTCCGGTAAGTCTATTACTACTCGAGCAGTTGAGGCTAACAGTAAATATAACAGTTTTGATGATGATATGGGCTTTTATATTTTGTTAAAAAAATTAAGACTTCCAGCTAGGATTGAATTGTTTTGGTGGAGATTGAGCAAAGATGCTATCCCAACAAATGAGTTCTTAAAATATAGAAAGCTTAAAGATATGGAACTTTGTGCTAGGGGGTGTCAGAAAAATTAAAAATCTGGAGCATATAACTGTCCGTTGTATTCATCTGCAAGAGATACTTCGAATGATTCAACAATGGGGATTCTACATTCCTATCTTCAATTCTCTGGAAGAAGGTTTTTGTGAGCTAAAAAAGCTTGTAAGTACTGCTCATAATATTGTCAATTTATATTGTACTTCGATATGTTTTAATTGGAGGAATAGAAATGAAGTGAACCAGGGGAAATCTGTAAATTCTGTAGCTATTACAGCTGCTAGTGTGATGTCTTCTTCTTTTAAATCTGCTAGTCCAACCATAGATAGCTAGGGTGCTAATCTCCTTAGGGAGTTTCAAAATTTTTGGCACCCTCCACCGCTTGATTGGATTAAGATCAATGTTGATGCAACCCTTCTTACTTGTTATAATGCTGGAATTGGTGGTTGTTTCCAGGATCATAAAGGAAGACTACTGATTACTTTTGGAGAAAGAAGAACACATTGGGATATAGCTCACCTTGAGTTGGAGGCTTTGATGACTGTTAGAAAATTTCTTCAACCGTGGATGCTTGAGAGTAAAGGGATCGTTATTGAAGGGGATAACATCAATGCTATCAAGTTCATTCAAAATTCTTTGAATAAGAATTGGCAATACTATAATCAGATAGAGGACTATTTTCTCTTCTTGCCCGATTTCAATAAGGTAATTCTTCACCATATAGATAGAGATTGTAATAAGGTAGCCGATATGTGTGCTACTTTGGCTTTAGATAACAATTTTTGGTTTGATAGTTCTTCTTTTGCTAACATTCCTCCTTCACTTTGTTTTTTATTGAAGAAGGAATGTGAGCCTTTTGTCTAGCTTGTATCTTATTTTTTTTCCCTTTAGTAATTGCTTTTTCATTCTTCAAAAAAAGAGTTCTCTTCCTAAGGCATGCAAAGAGGTAAAAATTTGAGTAAATCTTGTATACATTTTAGAAATTATTTCAGAAGGTTTCATACGAAAAAGTTCATAATCACGCAATAAAATATTCAACCAAGATTGCTTAGCTTTATTGGTTCCTTCATAAGCGATACGCAATTTATCCCAAATCTCTTTACCAGTAGTACAAGTTGAAACCGCATGTAATCTTCAGATTTTAAAGCAGAGAAAAAATAGTTCAAACATTTTACATTAAGTTGTGCTAAATCCCTATCATCAAGAGTCCATTCAATAAAAGAAAGTGGAATAATAACACCATTAAGTTTTCCAATAGGAGGTTTATAACCATCTTTAACAAGCATCCACATGCGATAGTCAATCGATTGTGAAAATGTAGACATGCAAGTTTTTCAAAATTAAAAGGAATATTATCAAACAAAGGTGGTCAGGTAATATAATACCCTTTCTCAGTATTATGATTACCAGAGTTACCCATAGATCAAAATTCAAAAGTTTCAAAAACATGATTTTGTGAATCTCTCTCTGATACCACTTGAAACTTCATTAGGGATGTTAATCCCTCATGAACTAGCCCTAGGCTAACCAAGAGGGGGGGGGGGAGAATTGTTATTTTAAAAATTCTTTCAATAAAAAATAAACTCAAAACAAACCAAAATTCACCACAAAGAAATTCAAAGTGCAAAAATTAAATGTGAAAAAAGCAATAGGAAAGAATACATAAATTTATAGTGGTTCGATCAACTCAACCTACGTCTACTCCCCGAAGTTGCCCTCCGGGTATTGCACTTAACTTAGTGACTCTCCTTTTGTTCCAATAGCAAGGCGAAGAAGCCTTTACAAAACCTCTTTTCCATTGACACTGGTGAGGCAGAGAACCCAACTCCTTTTTCCTCCTCCTGAAGCAGGAAGAGAACCTTGATCGATTGCTGAAGTGAACCTCACTTGACTCTCCAAGGATAAGAGACTAAAATCGGAGAAGAAAATATGGATTAATTCTTGGAGTAACCTTTAAGAAAGCCCCTCATAAACTCCCCCTCACAAGATCCTCTCTCTCTCCGTCTCCTCTAGGCTCTCTTAGGTCAAGTCAACAACAAAATAATTTCTAATGGGTAGAACAAGTGTTCTTAAATAGAAGAGCTTTGAAATACCTCATTAATTGCAACTAACTGACTCTATCATCCAAGACAATATAAATATCGTCATGTATGATCAGTGCTAATTAAGCTGAATCAGCTAAGACGATTTAGGATAATTAGAAGGTTTTTATTCATATCGTCCAGGACAATATAAAATCATCTTATATAATTATTACAATTAGTGAATATTATCTAGATAATTGCACTGAATGGATGTTTGGAAAATGGAAAAATAACTTGATCGTCCAGGCCGATCTCACGATCATCCCAAATGATTAGTCCAAATTCATGAAAATTGTCCAGAGCATCGGCCTAAATAGAAGGTGGCTGATGTTGATCGTCCATGAACCACTAGGGTTTTTTGAACTGATCGTCCTGACCGATCCTACGATCATCCAGGACATTATGATTAAGTCAATCAAATCTTAATTTCTTTTCTTAATTACCATATTAATTTAGGCATAATTATGTTGAATCATCCAAAACGATGTCCAAAAATAAATAATACCTAAATATATATAGCGGCGGATT